CTGGTGGATAAGCGGTTCAATCAGGGAAATTGGGATGACTAGTTCCCCTCATCATCTTTATCTTACTGCTTATTTCTATCTTTATATTGTTTGCATGGATCGTGATATTAGCTGGTGTTATACCAGGAACATTTGCCTTAACCTTTGGTTAAATATGGTTTAGGATCTAATCTAGATCAGATCGGCGTAAATAGAATTTAAATAGATCCCTGAGAGCTTTAGCTAAATAAGACTTTATTACGATAGATCTATTAGCTAAGATAGTCTGTTAGTATTGTTAAAACATCCTTCTAAATGATCAGTTTTACAAAATATGCATTAAACATTACTTCATTTTCAAAAGCTGATTGTTTTAATCAATACAACATCTTGTTAATCGATTAAATGAACTTATACAACATGTTTTAATCGATTGAAAATCGAAATAATCGATTATTTTTACTAAAGTTTCATGTTTTCAAAATCTTAAATGTTTTAATCGATTAAACTTTTCTTTCAATCGATTAAAATCATTTACCAAGAACATTTTAACCGATTATACTCTGTTTTTAATCGATTTTTATTACGGGAAGAAAGATTAAAGGCTTTAGTTAATGGTCATTCTCGTAACATGCTACTAAAGCGTGATTCCCTTATCTTTACACGTGTTAATTGTATTCATTACAAGCGTGTTAATGGAGATAAGTTTGAATCAACTTTAATTGATTCTTTTCATGAGTGAAATATTGATTCACTTTGTATTTTCAAAAATTTGAGCATATTTTTTCGAAACCTTACATTTTATTCTTTTCTCTTCTATTCCCTATTTTTGATGAAGTCAAAAGGGGAGAAATAGTTGCATCACTTTAAGATAAATTTAAGTGCAACATTTTAGGGGGAGAAATAAGTTTTAGGGGAGAAACAAAACTTTATTACATTCTTATATTTCTCACCTAAGCTGCATTATCAAGTGACTTATTTTGCGAGAGATTGGTTTTTCAAAATGGTGTTTGTCTTCATCAAATAGGGGAGACTGAAAGTGATCCTAGCAAAGATCTCATTGATTTGATGAAGTCAAAGATAAAGTCAAGGGTCAACTCTGCAGCGATCAAACAAGTCACTCGAGAACAAAGGAGTCGAAGACTTAGTGTGTCTAAACGAAAGCTTAGGTAAAACCACTTTACCTTTTCCACTGCATAAAGCTTCTTCACTCAATTTGCAAAATGCCTCAAAAATAGTTTTAAACAAATAAAAAACAAAAGCATTTTGGCAAAGAATTTTCTTAAACAAGTTATTAAGCGATACAGGTTTGAAAGAATCAATTTAAAACACTTAGAATGTTTTAAAAAGTGTTTTTACAATATATTAATCGATACAAACTTCTTTTAATCGATTAAAACTCTTTATGACCGATTAGAATTCGAATGTAATAGGTCAGAATGCAATATAATCGATCAGATCTTAAATATGAGCGATTAGAATTATTTTAATCGATTAAAACACGTTTCAATCGATTAAAATCACTTTGGATGTCAGTATGATCGATCAGAATGAGATTATGACCGATCGAGTTGGTTATGATCGATCAAATTGAATTATGACCGATCAGACTTATTTCAATCGATTAAACGCATTTCAATCGATTAGAATAACTTAGAAAATCTTTTCAATCGATTAAAGCGAACTTTCAATCGATTAAAATGACTTGAAAATATATGTGCAGTTTTTCAATCGATTGAAAGCGACTTTATATCAGCTAAAATAACTTGGAAAGTTTTATAAGAAGGTTTTTAAACATATCAATCGATTAATACGCGATTCAATCGATTGTTTTATACTTAGAAAATGTTTGTAAAGCGTTTTAAGCGATAAAAACGTGGTCAGTATCAACTAAAACATTTTCGTTAAAGATCATGAACGCATTAATGGGTTGAAAGGACTTTTAACAGATTGTAACGGCTATTTCAACAGATTAAAACAAACTTTCAACAGATTAATTAATGCAGTGATTTGAAAATACTCTTTTATAAACAGATTTGCTTGAAACTTTGAGATATAGATCACATATCGGTTTTGACACAATTCAAGCAATCAATACAAGCAACTATTAGCATTTTTCAAGAAAGATACACAAGCTGTTTTTGTGAACTTCTTTTGAAATCTTTCTTGAGGCACTTTGCATTTCTTTGAAGAAGAAACTGATCGTGGATTGGTGTAATCCGGTTTGAGCTTTCTTTGTTTCTTCTTTTAAATTTCTATTCATTCATTTGTACTTGTTTTGTACCTGGAATTTGGGTACAAGTTTTACTGCAATTGTTGTAGAAAGTTGCCAAGAACTGGAATTTGGTTCTTGGTGGAAAGGTTAAAGCAAGAGCTGGAATTTGGTTCTTGTGTGTGGTGCCTGGAATTTGGGCACTTGGTTTCTCTCGTGCTGGAATTTGGTTGCGAGAGGTTTCCAAGAGCTGGAATTTGGTTCTTGGTGGAGAGTTAGAATAGGTGTAAGAGGGTGAGTCGTAAAACATCTATTCTAGTGGAACCCAGTTGGAATTTGGCTAGAGTCCGGACGTAGCCCTGGTATTGGGTGAACCAAGTATAAAATTACCGGTGAAATCTTTCCTAACCTTTCTCTCTTTAATTTCTGCTGCTGCACTTAAACTGTTTGATTGCTTTGTGATTTGTGAATTGATAAGTAATCTTAATTTTCGAATTAGATAATCTGTGTATTGCGAAAAACTTTCAAAAATCAATTCACCCCCCCTCTTGATTTAAAACTACTTTTCTAACATGTGTGTTGTGCCGTCTCTGGGGAAAGTTGTTCTTCATCTCTTGTGGATTTCAAGAGAGGTGTTTTTTTTACTTTGTATTTTCAATTGTTATCTGTTTGTAACAACTTTGATTATAGTGACAGCGTTAATCCTCTGTTTGAGTGATTAACAACTGGACGTAGGGTCTTTTGATCCGAACCAGTATAAATCTCCTGTGTAAGATTCTATCTTTTCTTTATTTACATTTACACAATTTTTAATCGGTAAAATTTGGGGAAAATTTTGAAACCTAATTTTTGTTAAGAAACCAATTCACCCCCCCTCTTGGTTTTTGTCCGACCACGCGAACATTCTGCTGCGCGATTCTAACAGGTGTTTGCTATCAAAGTTGGACCTGATGGTACTATCGATCACCTCAAAGTTCGTCTTGTGGTCAAAGGTTATACTCAAATTTTTGGGTTGGATTATGGAGATACCTTTTCCCCCGTGGCAAAGATGACTTATGTTCGTTTATTTATCACCATGGCCGCTCTTCAAAAATGGCCTCTTTATCAACTGGATGTTAAAAATGTTTTCCTCAATGGTGATTTGCAAGAAGAAATCTATATGGAGCAATCTCCTGGGTTTGTTGCTCTGGGGGAGTCTTCTGGGATGGTATGTCGTCTTCGCAAATCCCTATATGGCCTAAAACAGTCTCCTAGGGCCTGGTTTGGAAACTTTAGCAAGGTTGTTCAACAATTTGGTATGACTCGGTGTGAAACAGATTATTCTATTTTTTATCGACACTCGAATGCTGGATGTGTTTACTTAATAGTATATGTTGATGACATCGTTCTTACAGGTAGTGACAACCATGACATCTCTCATTTGAAACATCTTTGTCACCATTTTCAGACCAAAGATCTTGGCAAACTTAGATATTTCTTGGGTATTGAGGTGACACAGTCCAATGATTGTATTGTTATATCTCTGAGGAAGTATGCCATAAATATTTTGGAGGAAACTGGATTGATGAGTTCAAAGTCTGTTGATACACCCATGGATCCCAATACTAAACTTCTACAAATTCAGGGGGATCCTATATCTGATCCTGAGCATTATAGAAGATTGGTTGGGAAATTGAATTATCTTACAATTACTCGTCATGACATTTCCTTTGCAGTCAGTGTGGTAAGCCAATTTATTAATTCACCATGCAAAAATCATTGGAATGTAGTCATTCGTATCTTAAAGTATATTAAAGGATCTCCTGGAAAATGATTATTATATTGTTCTAATAACCATACAAGAGTTGTTTGCTACTCAGATGCTGATTGGGCAGGATCTCCTTTGGATAGAAGATCTACATCTGGATACTGTGTCTCCACTAGTGGTAACTTGATCTCATGGAAAAGTAAGAAACAAAGAGTTGTGGCACGATCCAGTACAGAAGCAAAATATAGAGTTATAGCCTCAGCTGTCTGTGAACTTGTTTTGATCAAGCAATTGCTTAGAGAGTTACAATTTGAAGATGTCACTCAAATGACATTTGTGTGTGACAATCAGACTGCTCTTCATATTAGTTCTAATCCTGTCTTTCATGAGAGGACCAAACACATTGAGATTGACTTTCATTTCATTCGAGAAAAGATTATGTCTGGAGACATCAAGACTGAGTTTGTTAACTGAAGTGATCAGTTAGCAAATATTTTCACTAAGTCTTTACGAGGGCCTAGAATTGATTATATTTGTAACAAGCTTGGCACAATACGATTTGTATGCTCCAGCTTGAGGGGGAGTGTTAGATATTGTTTGATATTGTTAAGATATTGTTAAGATATTATTAGATATTATTAACCACAATATCAAACAATATCTTTTGTTTATTCTGTTTACTTTCGGTTACTCTTTTAGTTGTACCTCTCTCTATTATAAATAGATTACCCTATGTATGATTTATACACAAGGGAGATTAATCTCCAACCCTATTTCCTCTGTATTCAACAAAAATCATTAACAATCCTCTCAAAATAACTCTCCACCTATTGATATGTAATTTAAAGAATTTCAGAGTGAAGTATCATAAGCAACAAGATTGGCCAACAAAAGTAACAGGATTACAAAACTGCGTCATAGCAATAACAGGTGATGCAAATTGTTAGGATGCTCAGAATTGAAGAAACTCTTGATTATTCAAAGGTAGAGATAGTTACATCTTCAGAGAGGATAGGGTTGGTTGACCAGGTGAGCTTTTCACTAGGGATATGGTAGTGAGAGTCACAACAGAGTTAGTGCCGACACTGGGGAAGCATGGTCAATGCAAGAACAATCCCCAATGCGACTACACAAGCGAGAACTCCACAAGCCCAGACTATGCGATTGGGAACTACTCAAGTATGGCACAATCAAACAGCGTAGACGGAAACCGATGGCACAGGTGCGAATTGGTGGCATGGGCCAGACTTCCCAGAGGCAGTGACATTCATGATACTATTCACAAGAAAGAACAGTGACTACACGAGAAACAAAAAAGGAACTAGAGATCGTACCTAAGCATATACCATGTAGGATTACAGTCGTTGAGTGTTATGGGTATACACACTATTCTATTTACAATTATATGTACAAGATAACTAAGGTAACAAAATAAAATAAAATCTACATATCTAATAAATATATCTTATATCCCTACTTACATCAAACCTAATCAAATCATATCATAATTCAATAAGCATACTGTAGTAAATGCTTAAATTTTTAACGGATTAGTACCAAGTTTAAATGATGAACACGTGTCAAGACATTCAATTCAGCAAGAAATTCTTTTGATGCTTGCATGTCCATCTTCTTGATTGCAGCTTTCTGCATGGAAAAAAATTATTGGCTTATATAATGAGTATATTGATTCTAAAAGAAACAATAAGAATGGTTCTTAAGAACAAACAGACTCTCTGTTCTATCATGTAGCATTGTAAAGCATTATATAAAGAAACAATACAGCTTTGGTCAGCGACTGAAATGCATCATGCTGTAATTCAGAACAAAGGAAATACATATTAAATACTATGCAATCATTTCAAATTTCAAGCAAGGAAGTTTAAACTATTTTAGTCAAACAGAGAAAATAGTAGGATAACTATTGATCAAATAGTTTAGTTGCTCAAGTCTCCTCATAATTAATTATAAACAATTCAAAGAACCTGTCCATCCGTCCTCACAAGAAAGGATGTCAACAAGAAAACAATGCATCGCAAAATACCAAATACAAAAAATGACATTAACTAATTCTCAAAATTTGAGTTTAAGCCAACTCAATCCAAAAAGTTAGCTCATACGGTCAGGGTTACCCCCTACTTATATAGCATATTCAAGCACTATCTCCAGTCAATGGAGGACTTTGACTTTTCCTAATAATACATCCCCTTGTGTCCATTACTAGAGGGCTTGGTGCATGGATAATATGGTTAGGTGGCCAAATAAAGGATTTATGATAGAGCATACATTATAATCTTCAGTCCCAAATTGGCAAGAAAAATATCCTGATCCGAATTGTGATCAATCATTAATTATAACACTTTTCAGCCCCTCTTCTTTTCATTCAATGTTTCAGTTATATTGTATAATACCGTACCATATTAGATAATATGTCTATAAAGTTATTCTTCAATCTTCTATTTCAATTTGTCTTCATTCAACTACAATCAGTTAAGAAATACAAAACATTGATAAATCAATAATGACAAACACCAAAAAGAAATATAAAGTGAACTGTAGAAAAGCTTCCAATAATAGGAAGTTATAAATGTGATTACCAACCTCCCCCCTCAGCTCCGCATAATAGACAGACCCAAAACCACCTTGACCAATTTTATTAGCCAAACTGAAGTTATCTGTGGCAGTTGCCAGTTCCTCATATGTGAACGCCAAGTTGTCCACTGTTATGCCTGTGATGGCAGCAGGACCACCAGGCCCTGAAGGTTCATTCACACTGCTCTGAGAAGTTTCATCTGAAAAATGAAGCACCAAATAATTTAAGTTGATATTTCAGAAAATGCAAGAACTAGAGGCACTGAATGATGGACAGGGCTCCAACAAGGGCAAAAACGCAGGATTAGCAGAGATCTTGTGCTAGATGATTGGAACAAAGAAGACATTACAAGTACCAGCTATTAAGAAGAATGTGATCGACTCCAAGATGGGGTCACCCATGTTAGGAGAATTAGAGAAAATATGGTAGGAAAAGTAATTTAAAAGGAAGATAGTCAAACCAAAAAAGATAGAGTAAGTTTAATGAAAAGGAGAATCATTAAACAAGATTTATCTAAATGTAGTTTCTGAAAAAATGGAATTTTGGAAAATAATGGCATCATTGATCTGCGTAGTTGAGATGCATACAAATGGGATAATCAAGGTTGCTTCTCATATCTTGTGCAGTTCAAGAGCAAGACGGTCAAGGTATCCGTTTTGAAACTCAAAAGGAACCATTTAGAACTTGTCATTTAAACAGATTCACATAAATCATGTAGAACAAGAGCACACAATTCATTTATACAGATGCACATAAGCTCATCAAATGGAAGAAACAGTCCATATTATTTACTATTCTATGACATCTCCAGATATTTCAGATTCTTTTGTACTAGAAGAGTCAAAATCACTGATGGCAACATACAGTTCCATGTGAGGTGGTCAAACAAGTAACCTTTTCTACTAGGATTTTATTAGAACTGAGATATGTAATCTGCAGACAAAGGGAAAAGTAGGTTATTTCAGTTAGATCTTAATATATAGGAGTATGCGAGAGCGGTTAACTTGGGTTGAGGGAGGTGTTGCAAGGAGTATAAGTACAAAGATCAATACCCTTCCCATCTTGAGCAAAGAGTGCACTAGAATCTCGTGGAATAAGTTCCTCCTTCTGTATCTTCTTCTTCCGGAAATATCTAACATATATAAAAACACCTAATAACAGAATAACTGCCACAATTCCAATAGCTATTCCTGCAATAGCCCCACCTGCAAGACCTGCTTAAATAGAAGCAAAAATGAGCCAAATTACATCATTATCCTTCTGGTTTTAGTATGTGCTGGTCATATTTTTAATAAGAAAACCAAACAAAAACACCGCATATCCAATATTTTGAGAGGAAAGTCAAACCTCCTGAACTGCAGAAGAAAATGAAAAGATAGTCATTTACTATGTTGAATTTGTTGGAGATTGAAAAGTAATACAATCAAGAACAGATTGCAAACAAAGTAGTACTACCTGGATGGCAAAAACACATAGCTACCATTTTGATCTGTCAAAGAAATCAAGAGAAAGAAGTTAGTGGTATATTGAAAATTTTCATTCAATGGAAAATATTCAAACATTGAGCTATAAATATGAAGCTTGTTAGGCATGCAAATGCTTGAGTGAATTTTAACTACCTAATCCACTCATATGCAACATCCAGTATAAATAGTTACTATTTCAGTAATAGATTCTTCATTCAAGTTATCAGACAAAATCAGTTAAAACCCATAATTAAATAGCAAGTTAGAACACTTTTAATTTTATTTCATCGTCCAACTTCAAAGGATAAACAAAAAGAAATAATAAAACATTTCCTCAAGTGTAAACACGTAGCACATCATTATCAGACCTATCAACAGGTCAGTCAATCTGTGGGGAGCTACATATATAATAAAACATCCCAACTAGAACACAAACAAGTTTCATATTCAAAGCCTCAGAGAAACACCAAGTCAAAACTAAGTTACTGTTGCAAAGTCACGGTCATTTCTAGCCTGCCTAGTTGCAGCTTCTTTTAGGGTTGCCTTAATTGCAACCTCAAGGGAAGTGATTTTTTTCCATATCTTGTAAAGAAATGATTTAAATATGTTTTATAAAACATAGTATTCATCTAAAAAGTTAATTTTGTGGAGCTATGTTAAGCCCTAAATTCAATGTCTAAATGGAATTAGTGTCTATCCTAAATCAATCGTTGGGTACACCTACATTTGCCACCACGCTTTAGGATACAAGCCTTGGATATGAGAGGAAGTGTTGAAAAGTTTCCTAAATTGGATTCACCCTTAGCTCATCATAGTTGCCTCCTCTTTTTAGGGGTTTCTGTATTGCAATCTCAAGGATGATGGTTTATTCACATATAAATTAGAGATATGGTTTAAATAGGTTTTATAAAACTTGGGAAGTTTTTAAAATCTGATTTTGTGGGGTTGAATTAGACTTATTAGACCAATTTCTAATAGTTACCAACACGCCATTAACAAAAATGGATGACTAATTCAGTAACTAAGCAAGGTTTTATATGCCTATCCCCAAAAGTAGTGTAGCCGCAACATCAAGATTTAGGAAGTCTTTGTAACCAGTATTTCATCAGCAATTCAAGTTGCATTAATCAGAAAATTTCAACAATTTCAGTATATCAACTACAACTCAAACCTTGAAAGTGCACAGAAGCCATAAATTCATATCAGAACACCAAAACAAATCAGAATAAAAACACATTTGTCAGTGATAGAAAGCAAGTAAGGAAACAAGTCATCACGCAAGTCCTCCTGCAAGTCCCATATTTGATCTATCATGCACACAAGCCCCCACCATCAGAGCAAACTCAACCTTTGCTAAGGTATCCAAATTAAGCACAAACACACAAAAGCTCAATATTCCAAACCCTCCAAACTAGAACCAAAGTCATCAATACCCTTGACACAAACACAGCTAATTAAATAAACAAGTAAAGAACCCCACCAAAATCATCAGATTAAACACCATATACACAAAGCACCCAAACTAACAAACAAACAAGCACCACACAAAATATCAAAATCAAGCTAGTTTCAAAACCCAGGGAAACGTTCTAAAATACAGCCCACTGCCACAACATCAAGGTTTTAGGGGTCTCTATAACCAGATTTGCATCCACATCAGCTCCATTCATCCACAAATTTCACAATATCAAGTATCACAACAAACTGGGACAACTTAAAAACTGGTAAGGTTTCATGAATTTCTGTGGCCACAATTGCAGCCACATTGAACAAGCTTTTCCACAAAATTCCTGTCTTTTAAGGTTTTTATGAAAATAATAATAAATGACTATAACTTTTATTGATATTAATAGAATAGCTGAGGCTTCTATTTTACTCTTTCTCATTTCTAAACCACATTCACAACAAATGTATAAAAGCAAATTAATTAACAATTTGATGATAGTTGACGCAAATTCTAAAAAGATCAAGAAAATGAAGTCTTAACAACTATTCGAACTAAGAACTTCATGTGAGTAATCTCTACAACTATTAGAACATTCTAGAAACTAATGAAGTAAATGATAGTTCTAGAAATAGACAATACCACTTGTGTTGTGGGTGCTCAAAACTCAATACAAACTCCTCTATGTTTGCCTTACAAAATTTCCAACCACACCTTCTTTCTAAGATCCTCATTAATCAACAACCAGCTCAATTATTTCTATTCTCCTAAACTACTAACACAATTGAATAAAGAGTAAAGATATAATTCGCAGGAAGAGAAATGAATGTTATATTGAATTTTGAAAACAAAGTATGGATTCAAATATAAGAAAAAAAAAATGATAAACTTAAATTTCAGCAAATTTTGAAAACAAAGTAAGGTACCCCTCAACATGTGCATAATCTCCAATAAATATGAGTAAGGGTAGTTTAGAAGATATATTTCTTTATTTTATGAAATAAAGAACATTAAATGAATTTGGACCCTCCGACTCTGTCTTTATCCAACCCTCTTCACTCTTACAACTTGGTTAGGGGTTATATAACCTTCCGGCCGACTTCGGATTTTGTCCAACCCCGGCAAAACCAAACCATCTTCACAAAACAACCGTAATCTCAAATGTTTTGGGAGAATTCAATCTAACCCTAGGAAAGACTTATTCCAGAACATAATTTAACTAACATTTTTAGTGTAAAATAAATTAGGTAATTTTTTTTAAAACCATTTCATTTAAACAAATTATCCTCTGATTCTTATATCTGTAGAGAACTATCTGACTATTACTTACATCTGTGGGAAACTTGGTTGGCCTTCCATTTACAATATCGAAACCAGAGAGCTCTAGTTTAACCAGTCCAGTACGAGTGGTACGAACCAGATGTTGGTAATTTTGCTTATATTTGAGTAAAAACTAGAATAAACAAAAGTCTTCCACTTAAAAAGGATAAAAAGAACAAGCAAAACAAGCCGACCTTTTCCTGGAATATAAACGAGTCCACTCCCCTGGTTGAAATTCACGTCAGGATTGTACCTCTGCAGCAACCCCGAGTCCAGGCTCATATTAGCAGCCACCGTCCCGAGAGTCTCCCCGGTCCTAAGAGGGTACGTTATGAACAACCCATAGTCGGCAACATCACTGTTCCCACAAGAGCAATTCACCGTAACGTTGAGCGTCCCCGTGTCGGGAATGTTATCGGGTTCGTAGCTGTTGAACCTCCTGAGCCAGGCAACGTCGGTCAGGTTGGAGTACCAGGTCCTTGCAACAGTCTCGTAAGTGTCCCGTGACTGAACGTCGTATTTGAAGGTGTGGGCGAGAAACTGGCCGTCAATACAATCGCAGGGGAAGGGGACGTTGACCCTTATGAAGGCCTGGACGCTGTCCTTGTTGGGCACGGTGTCCTTGTTGTAGAGGACAATGTCGTCGGGAGAGGTGAGAAGGGAAGAGGACATGATCTGGGAGATGTAAGTGAGGTTGGAACCCTGCCACATGTAGTAGGAGCCCAGTGCCAGAGGGCAACCCTGCTGGCAGGCCGATTCTGCTGTGAAGGGAAGAGAAAACAGCAGAAGGGGAAGCAGGAGAAAATCCAATCTGGGTTCCATTGGAAAGAAAACTGAATTAGAAAACAAATTATGGACTCTGAGGTTTGGGTTTTGTGAGTGTTTGAAAGTTGCTTTGTTGATTGTGGGATTGATGGATTTGAGTTGAGTTGACCAGGTGAATGGTGATATGGTAGGGAAAGACAGGAAAATTCTAATTTAGTGGGCTTGCTTCTGGGTGTGTTTGAAGACAGAGGTATTATTCATTACATAGATTGAATATTGATTTATGGCAGAGTTGCCGTGTGTATTCTGAACTTATGGAAAGACAACCAGACAAACTTTTAACAGTAATTTTCCGCTGTCAGAAGGACGATTATCTGGAGTACAGCAAGACTACTTTTGCAACTTTTAACCACGTACTCACCAAAATTTCTTTTGCCCGTGTGCAATGCATGAAATTCATATCAATTTACTATAAAATTTAAATAAATAATAATTATTAATATATATTAATTGATATGAATATTATATATTGTTATATTCAGAACATATTTATTTTATTATAATATGAAAAAAGGTAGATCAAAGAAACATATAAATTTTTTAAATATTTATTTAGAAATAATTAAAACTTATCTTTCAATAATAAAATACAATATTTTTTATATATTTAATGAATAATTGAATAAAAAACATATTTCATGTGTAACTTTGCACTGTAAAACTAATAAAACAATATTAATTTATCTGTTATTTATTAAAATTTCAAAGTTTGTATAAAAAGTTTAACAAATAATTTATATATAATTAAATTTAAACTTATTACTTAAAAGAAAATTAAATTTTGATTAAATTAGTTGAACATGATAAGAAGAACAAAATTTGATTTAAAAATAATTAAAAACTTTAAAAGATACAATAAATATAAGTTTTTAAGTAATTATTTTAATCATATAAGCTATTTATGTTGGTAATTGAGTCTAAATATTTTTTGACCGACTAAAAATATTCATTAAATTATTTTAGATATTAATTTTATATAAAAAAATAATAATATTTATTATGTAATTAAAAATATTAATTAGATAAAAGAAACTTTTTTTAAATAGTAAAAACTTTATCTCATAAACTAAAAAACAAAATCATTTACTTTTATTAAAAAAACTAATCAAACCACAATATTTTTTTAATTTTAGACACAAATTTTATATAAAAAATATTGTTCATGTAATTCAAAATATATATATATATATATATATATATATATATATCAAAATAATCTTAAATTTATAAAATACAACAAAATTAATAAAAATACATTATCTTTCACAAAAATTGGTTTAATCTTGTGTACTAATATTTTTTTTATTTTAATAGAAAATTTATATAATTTATTTATGCAAAATAACACAAATCATAATGTCCTAACTTCTTAATCTTATGTTTTTTTTTTAACAACTTCAAGTAACATTTGAATTTGTTCAATTCAAAAAAAAAAAAATCACATTCATGTTTAAGAGTGATGTTACATCATTGCTTAAACACAATATCAATGACCAAATCTCCTGTTAGACATTTCAAATCAATAAATACATTCAAAAATTTAGTTAACACATATTGAGAGAAAAAAATAGAAGAGATGACACCTTATATTTACTATAAAATTAATATTGAAATGAAGATTAAAGTATTATATAGAAGACATTAAAAAACCTTTAGAATAATAATGGACTAACTAAAACTTAGTTAAATTCTGAATTAAACAAATGAAGACCTTAAATGTGCCATTGGTGTATGACATGAGATGTATTTAAATAGTATCACAAATTCTATTTTAATTGTCAAGACAAAATAATTCTATTGATGATTTGATAAAAAAGAATATGATTTAGAATGCTTTAGGAAACGGTACATATGAATAAACTAATAATACATTATATTTTATTTTATACAATGGGACTATGATACATTTTTTAATTTAGTAGACTTCTAAAAGTAGATCGAAGGAATTCATTTCCAAGGTTTTTTTTTTTTTAAATGTAACTGTCCAAATTCTCAAATTCACGATATTTATTATATAATAAATATATTTTTTATATTAATATATATTATGATAATAATGCATCATTAATCAACTTGATTATTCGGTTATAATTAACATTAAATATGTATAATTTATTATTTACAAATCACCTAATTTTTATTGAGCGGTTTTCTTATTATTATTATTCTTTTTGTTCTTATACTGATATAAGCAGTGCCTGGTGAACCTTTTTCTTTTTTTAATTTAGCGGAGATTGACTTAATAGATTATAAAGTGACAATCATCCAAATCGACTTATTTGAACTTATTTATTATTATAATTTTTTTTAAGAACATTTGACATTTATTATAGGACAAGTAAAATTTTTAATACTCACATAACTTAGGGTTTTTGATTTTTTTTTAAATCATCTCATCAATTTTCTAAAAATAAAGGAATAATAGTTTTGGTCAGAAAATGAATCATTTGAAATCTCTAAGGAGGAAATGAAAATAACTCTATCTCTTATTTAATCTTATTTTTGTTTTTAATACTATTTCAAAAGTATGTTATGAAAGTAGAAATAAGATATTTAAAATTGATAAAGGAGGTCTTCCCTGTCAAACAAAGTGAAATGGTAATGTGTTATTACAATTATAAATTATTCTAGTAAGATTGATAATATTATATATATATATATATATATATATATATATATATATATATATATGGATTGTTAATATTGTAGCAATAAACAATATGGTATTTGATTCTATAAAGGTCATCCAAATTAAATTATCTACATACAAATATATTTCTAACAAATCCGAATTATTGGAAAAAAAATATATGAATTTTATTTGATTCTATTTCAGATACTTTTCCCGTAAATTTTAATATTTTATGCATTTGTCAAATAAAATTATTTTATCTCGTGCATTGTTTTTTTTCTTTGCAAAACTATTATCTTTTTAAAGACACCATAACAAAATTATTAGATACTATGAGAGAACTTATATTATACAAAATAATTTGTAAGTCATATAAAGTTTAAATGTGAATAACTTAAAAGGAGGAGAATAAACAATATGAAAGTTGATTTTGATATCATGCCTCATTTGAGTATTTAAAAAATATACATTTCTTAGTTTATTTATACGATATATGCACAAATGAGAAAGTCCAATTTCTTTGATCATAATGATAATAGTCTAAATTTTTTTGAATTATTGTAAATAGGGTTACACAACTATAACCTTAATATACTTTAAAATACAATACTTTGAAATATTTTGTTTTTACTATTATTTTACTATAATCCAAATTTTGTTATGATATCGAGTCTTATTTGTTTCACCTCTTGTAACAAATATATTCTTAGTGGAGGTCACATCATCTATCTCAATAGTCCTCATCGAAAGAAAGTATAAGGTAAAAGTCCTACCACACCTATCTCAATAAGTATCTTATTGGTCACTTTGCCTAATTTCATAAAGTCCATAAAGACATGTTTGCAAATCATTCATTATTAAAGGATTTTTTTTTTATTCAATTACTCATACAAATTTTGTGATTTCATAACAAGATGTATTTCTTACCGCTCATATTATTATGATGTGTCATAATGTTATATAAAACATTTTATCGTAAATATTTTCTTAAAATCATCATGCAAATATCTTATTTTAGATAAAATTTTTAAAATACTTACACAATATTATTATTATTATTATTGTGCATTATATGCAATGAAACACATAAATATAAGATATCTTGATTTTTCAATTTTCTCAAGAGAAATATTTCTTACTATTATTATACTTACACATAAAATGTGAATTTAAATGACAATGTGAGATGTATGAATATACAATAATATATTTTTCTCGAGATAAATGTCATTGATTGTTTATTATTATTTTATTAGGCATGCAAATCGAGATTGCACGATTTTAAATTCAAAAATATCATTAATTATTAAGATAAAATATTCAATTTTTGTTATACAATATTATCAATGATTGTATTATTAAATTTCTTAACAATATTATATATCAAATATATTAGGCATCACAAATTATTCCCAATTTGTCATCATGCGATATTAATATTACAAATTCAAATATATTTGTTATTTTACATATAATTTATTACCAAAATTAAGTGATGTTATGATTTTAATAATAGACTAAACCTTATGATTTTAATATTTATATAATTTTAATATTACCTTATATGGTCAAATAGGATATAAATATTTGTTACAAAATATTTGACTCTCTATAGAAGTGTAGGAGAAGTCCACTCAATATAAAGAAAATGAAAACTCGTCCCAAATTTGGACGGTTAATATATTTAACTCCTTACAAAATGGGACATATAAGCTACAAGAATTATTCAAGAAAATTATCTTCAACCATTGAAATGTGTCAGTAATCACATTAAAGAGGTAAATTCATACATTGTCAAAAATATTCTCCTAGCACAAAGCTAATGTGAAAAGGTGTAGTTATTGTAACTCACCAAAACATTTATTGATACACTTAACCCAAAGATAAACATGATAGATGTAATGAAACTAGTCAAATATTATTTTAGCCCTAAGCTAAACATGACAAAGTTAATGAAACTCGTCAAATATTATTTTAGTCTCTAGCTAAACATGACAGAGTTAATGAAATTGGTCAAATATTATTTTAGCCCCAAGCTAAACATGGCAAAGGTAATGAAACTCGCTAAATATTATTTTAGCCCCAAGTTAAACATGATAGAGGTAATGAAACTCGCCAAATATTATTTTAGCCATGAGCTAAACATGGTCAAGGTAATGTAACTCACCAAATATTATTTTAGTCCCGAGCTAAACAAGGCAAAGGTAATGAAATTAACCAATTATTATTTTAACATGTAAGACATAGTTACCGCAACACGTTATCACTAAACGTAGTTATCACAAGTACGTCATTATTGAACGTAACTATCACAACACGTCAATATAAATTAAAATCAAATTAGGTTTTATCCAAGTTATATTAA